ACCTCGATACACGCATCAAATTGACGGTTTTGAAGAGCGTAATCGTACCGCCGCTAGAGTACGCCGGAGAAGTATGGGAAGGAAATAAGAAGGTAGTGAAAGAACTCGAGGCGGCGCAGATGAAAGTAGCGAAAATCATCCTAGGATGCTCCAAGCGCACAAGTGATGCAGCCGTCAGGGCAGAATTGGGGATCCACTCCCTACGGTCGGGAAGAGACGCGAGGAATGTGACATGGCAGTATCGCATGTGCGGCATGGGAGAGGAGAGGTTGCCGAGAATTGTAAGGGAGGCGAAGTGGGCAGACAAAAAGAGGGGTAGACAATCCACGGAATGGGTCAAGGTTGAAGAGGACGTATGGAAGGGGCTCGACATCGACGAAGATGAAACGCTGGAAACGGAGGGTCTACAGGGGTTCAAGGAGAAGATAACTGTTGCTTGTGCCGAGAGAGAAGAACAGATCTAAAGCAAGAAACCAAGGATAAGGAGGGCCTAAAAGTGTACGGAATGTTGAAGGAAGGAATCGGGTTCAAGGATTACTACCTACATGGACCAATGGATGCAGGAACAAAGCTTATGGTCAGGTTCAGGACCGGGGACAGAGGCCTTCGAGAACATCGACGAAGACATGGGACGGTAGACGACGAAGACGACGCGTTCAAATGTGATTGCGGCTTCGAATGCGAAGACCGTGTTCATGTAGTCGCGGAATGTCAGTGGTACAAGAAGGAGAGGGAAGTGTACGTGACTGAGCTGGGAAAAATAGATGGGGACGTACAGGGAGATGTTTGAGTCATGCAATAGATTGGAAAGGACGGTAGCTGTACTGGGGCATAGGAAGTGGTTTGAAAAGGCGGGAAGGGATATCGTTAGGATAGACAGACTAGGGAAGACATTTTTGAGCCACCTTCGGCAAAGTAGAAAGGAACGATTGACCATGGGTGATCGGTCCTATGGGAACAATGCTCCGTCCTCTCGAGGACGCGTGGTCAATGGTCTAACCGCTAAGACATGCAAAACATAAGAGTAGTCTCTNCCCCCCCCCCCCCCCCCCCCCGCGCGCGCGCTCTTCCTCGCGCTGATATATTGCGGCGCAGAAACCGAAGGCTGGGGCAACTCCAAAGGGTCGACCAAAGGCGGGCGCGGGGGGGGGTTCCGCGAAGGGAAAGAAGGGGGGGGGCGGCAAGGGGGAGAGCGAAGTGGCGGCGAAGAAGACGCGGAAACCTTCCACGGTATTGTGGCGGGTGAGCGACGAGCTCGCGGCCGTGGTGGGGTCGAAGGACGCGACGGTGGACACGATCAGAAGTGGCGTACACCAGTACATCAAGGAGCACAACCTACAGGTTGGAGTTTTGTTGTTGTTATTGATGTTGTTTGTTGGTGGTGTCGATGTTGTTGTTTCTTGTTGGTTGGTTGCTTGTTGTTGTTGTTGTTGTTGTTGTGGTTGTTTGTTGCTGCTGGCGATGTCGATGTTTTTTGGTTGTTGGCATTCGATGGTAGCTGTAGCAAGGCTTAAGCCCGGCGCGCGCCTTCTCCTTTTCCGAAGAAACGCGTCGTTTTGCATGACTGATACTGGCCTTTCTGATGACGGCATGAAGTTTACCCCCGTAGGGTTTGCCTAATCGTTTTGCACGTGTACGGTAAGGTTGCGAGTCGGCGCCCAGGGGTGCGATCGATTTTCAAAGCGTCATTTATCCACAACCAGAAGGGTGCGAGTGCCAACTGATACTTCTCAGGAAAGCTCTCGATGAAATATTCCGAAACCACACTTTTCGACAGTGGTGACCTCCTGGTCGTGGAGAAGTTACGCTTTGAAAACCGCTCGCACCCCTGTGCGCTGACCCGCAACCATACGGTAAGAGGATGCGAGCAAATGCCCCGAAATCCACCAATCAACCACGTGTGGATGGTGCTATCCAAAGACGGTGTTCGGGGCCCTTGCGGGTCTAGTGCACGCTTGCTGTGTCGTCAGGCGATGAGTGGGTGCCCTTGTGGTACTACGTTACCGCCTCAGTTGGCTTATCTTTTGAAAGTCGGACAGGCGCGTTCCCTCGGAGATGCTCTCTGTAAGGAATCGGACCTGATTCTTGGTCTGAATACAGCTGCTGTACGAGAGATTTCAAGCAATCAGAAATCCCCTTTCAAAGCAATTGGCCATCCAGAAAACTGTGGGCACCTCTTATCTCGACGACGACACCACCACCATCACCATCAGCGCTAACCAACGACTGCCGTAGGTCGCCTGACGTAAGATACCACATCCCCCGGCCCGGTTTTGAAAGCCCGATTTGTCGACGACGAAGAGGATGCCAAACGCAAATAAACATTTTCGGCAAGCTCACAACGAGATCCCAACGCCTCCCGCCAATTTCGGCACCCCCACTCTCTGTGGTTTGGAGTAATCGCTGCTTTGGAGTAGTCGAGCTTTTGAAAACCCGTCCAGGGTGTGTTAATCCTTACCCGACCTAGGGTACATGCCCGCCGGGAGTTGGTACTTCGTACGTGTTGACTCCCCTTGTGGGCTAGCTACTCTTGGTTGTTGGTATTGCCGAACGAGTGTTGACTTCCGCACAACATCGACCGTCCTTTGCTGTCCTCGGATCCTTGTGCACTGCGTCCGCATGATCTTGATACATATACACACCGCTAACAGTTTTTTTTTATCGGAATCCTTCCTCCTTTTCCTCTGCCTCTCTCCCTCCTTCCTCATGGCCATGGAACGCCGAAGGTGTTAATTTGCTGTGACGAACTTGGTTGTCCGAATCCTACGAAGATTTCGGCAAAGTACAGCAATAGGAAGGAATGGCAGTGATCGGTCTTGGAGAACAACGCTCTCGAGGACGCCTGGTCAACGGTGTAACCGCTAAGGCATGCAAAACATAAGTACAGCCCCCCCCCCCACGCCCCTATTCATCCTACAGGACCCCACGAAGAGGACGATGGTGATCTGCGACCCCACGCTGGAGAGAGTAATGGGCCAGAAGGTCGTCAAGATGTTCGGCATGCAGACCCTCATCGCCCCGCACAGGCTCCACAAGCTCTAACCAGAGACAGACCCCGTTTACTCCTTCAACCCGAAACCGTCGTCTCCCGCGCCCCCAAAGAGCGGCTGCCTCTGTAAATTAATCGGGCGCAGGTAGTAGCCTTTGTGTTGAATTTTTTCGAGTCGTGATGCCATGCATCATCCGAGGTATACATATGTGTTCCGCGACGTTTGACTCCATATTACTTTTTTTCTTCCGGCGACCCTGCGGTTATGAGTGGAGGGGGCACAGCAGAAACAGGTATCGGTACAGCGCATGGAACTAGGGCGAGGCAGCTGCCGGATTTTGCTGAAGTGGTGGGGGGGGTGAGATATAATGCGGAAATAGCAGGCGCTTTGGCTTTGTCATCCGCCTGAATCCGGGCCGAGCGTATCGAATCATGTGTGGAGTGCTGATCGGTTTGTGTGTGCGTCCGGACAACTCTCCTCCTCTTCACCTGTCGTTTTTGACGTGTGAGGATGTCGGGCCATGCAGAGGCCGGTGATCCAAAGTTTGACCGGAGGCATGTTGCAGGAACTGTTCCTCTCTCTCTCTCTCTCACTGAACATCCTCAACAACTCACGGCAGCCCTCTTCAGGTTTGCTACTGTTGTAGGCCCCCACCTCTCCTTCGGCGCACCGTCCTCCCTCTACACAACACAAGGTTGCCGATGAATTGTGAACCGTCGGCAATCAGGTGCCCACAGTTTTCTGATCGTTCAATTTTTTTAAAGGAGACTTCTGATTTGGCCAAAAATCCCTGGTCGACGTGTGACATCATCCACCCTCCCCCGCCACGGTCCTACCTGGGTCACGAGCACCGACGAGTGCTGCCGTCTAAACTATTAATAGGTGGCAAACACACACACGATAAAAACTCTCGACGAGAAACATCACCCGGGGGGAATCCTGAGCGAAAAATTCCCGCGGAAACATGTGAGCGGAAGGTCCAGAGTTTCGCGCGGAAGCTTTCGGGGGACCTTTCCAGTTGCTTCGGAAGATATCACTTTGCGCGGGAGCATCCCCGCGTTTCTCCCGTCTCACACATAACAAACTTACCACGTTTTTGTGTGCCCCCCTCTGCAACCCAGCGGTTCAACAAGACAAGGGCGCGATGCACTCGACGGCAACAATGTTAGCTTAGAACAAGTTTCACCGGTAGACATGCATGCGTTCTTTGCCATCACTCCCCAAACACAATCAATCCACAACAAAGCAAAAACAAGAGTCGCACGCCGCACGATTACAACGCAAGCTTTCATAACTCTACTGCCTCTCCTCTCTCGGCAATTTTTTTTTTCTGCCTGTTGTCATTTTTATTCGCTCCAATGCTTCATCTCTACTACACTACCACTCCGCCACATCTCTTCTACCACTCCGCCAGGGCCTCTCTGCGGAAGAACTCCCCCGTCAGCCCCCCTTCGTCGACGCTCTTCATTTGCGTGAGCATGAAGGGTGTTCGGGCCCCCTCCTCGGGTGTCAGCGTTCCCCGGTGCGATGTCATGTCGGTGTCGCAGTATCCTACATTTTTGCCGCGCGTGGTAGGTAGTGCGACACAAAAGAGAAGGCGACAAAAGAAGACCGGGGGTGTTTCGGCCGGAATAAGAGGTTGGGGATGTGCTTCATTTGAAATTTTGGTGGTGGCACGGCGAAAAAGTGCACCCCCGGCGAATGAGAACTCGGACGGCACACCAAGCAAAAGTCATTCGGGGAGGGGTTGGCACGGGCATCCTATGCGACAAAAAAAAAAAACACTCCATGTAGATGTATGTCATCACACATAAACAAGCATTCGTGGAAAAAACAAGAAACCACATATCCCATTTCACCTGGGCAACACGCATTTATTGCCACCGTTGAGCCCGCCTCTCGCTCGAGTCTCGCCGCAACCTGAAACGGCCAGAACAAAAAACGAAACAGCAAAGACCAGTGACAAGCAAACAACGGAGGTAACTAGACGCACGATTCGGCAGAGCTGCAAGACAATCACCGCTAAACCTAAACCTCAATACCACAAAACGGATTTTCTATGCACAACAGAGAGACACACAGCTCACTATCATGGCACTACGGCGTTTCATCGCGAAGAACGCGAAACAATCGACCCTTGGATTCAGCCACGTCACACCGTCACACCCTGCTTGTCGTTTCGTTGCCAAGAGGCGTTCTCATGCATGTGCTCCCTGGCACGGGTCGAGCCGCTCAACCTTTGGCCACGGGCACGAAACCAGACCGGAGGGGAGGGGAGGGGGGGTAGGGGGTCTCCTCATTTCCATGTTTTATACTGTACGCGTGTTGAGACTACGCACACGTCTCGGGACGCTGAAATCAGAATAGGTCATGCAGTGCCCCAAGACCGGTGGTGTCCCTCCCGAGCATCTGGTTGTGCCCAAGAACAAAAGGCGCCCAATGCATTGCTACTGCTGCTGCGTCATGCAACAGCAGCAGTAGTAGCCGTTCTATCGAATCTGCTGCGACGTGGTACCACCGCCCAAAGCAGCACTTAAAGCGCGACAGACCATCTCGAGGGCGTGCGCCGCTTTCAAACATGGGCGCTGCCGCCTTGCCTCACCTTGGTGTAGGCGATGACGCCAAGCTTGCTCATGCCGTAGCAGGTGTTGGGCCACCCGCCGCCCTGGTGCCGGCCGGCCTTAACGTCGCCGACGAACTGCGCCATCATGGCAGACAACCTTTCCCTGTTGGGGGCGCGTGCGGTTGGCTGTTGTCGTCTTCTCACTAATAACGTCCTGGTCTCTGTATCGAATGCATACCTCACGCAACAGACTGGCATAGATAGGTAGATCCCCAATGCTCGTAGGCGAAACCCAAGCAGGGTGCGGAATACTTCAAGATGGAAGCTGCGCATTTCCCCTGGTACCGCAAAACACGGAATTGGATCCGACACCGCCACAGGTAGATGGTTTCAGTTGTAGACGTGCACAAAGAGCAGCACGTACACACCGGTTCGGTTTTGGCAGCTCCCCCTTCTATGACCGACAACCCGCGATAGCTCGGACAACAACAAGAACGAGAACAAGAACAAAAGAACAAGTGCAACAAAAGCACCACCACCGACGACAACAACAACGATGACAACAGCAGCGGCAACCACAACAACAACAACGACGACAACGACAACAACAACGGCAACAACCACAACGACAACAGCAGCAACGACCAATACAAAAAGCGTCACCACCAATCAGCCCGACAGCATCAGCACCAACAATGGCGGCGGCAACGATGGCCGTACGGGCGGCAACGACGGCCATACGGCGCCAATAACTCACTTACAGAAAACGCCTCTTCTCTTACTTGGTGAGAGCGGGGTTGGTGAAGGCATTCCTTCGGTCCTGACTCCCCAATATGGACAGGTGGCCGGCCATGCTGGCAACGTTAACAACCCGGCCGGCGTCGCTCCTGTCAGATAACCACGGTCATAATCAATCGAGCTACATCAGAACGTTGTTTCGCTCAGAGAAAAATACACTGCTACAGAGTTTCGGGCCAATCAACAAGAAGAAAACTAACAAGAGAGAGAGAGGGCGAAAAGACAACGGCGAAAAAAAAAACGCCAGCGATGTGCAGCAATAACGCATGCATCAGTAGTTATAAGAATCAATAGTTATACGAGAAGAAACCATACCAGCAATGAAGTGCAACGGCAACAGGCACAACAAAGACTGCTCGCGGAG